GTTCCCAGCCGTTCCTGGCGATCGTTAGACAAGGAATAACGTGCATTGCTTACAAGCCACCGGCTGCATATCAGTACAACAGTCACGAAAATTCGGTTTCAGAAAATAATCACTGCGAAAGAAAAGGTGGCCCCCGATGTTTTAATGGTAGAACGTGACACGTTTTCACGGTTCCGCAGCTCTTGCACAGTCTCTGCAGTGAGACGATATATATATATATATATATATATATATATATATATATATATATATACATCCTGACTGCATATTCATCAAGACGCAGAAAATAGCACGCAGCACGTATATATTGGTGTTGTTTTAGGCTCACAAATATGCTTTGCGAATGCGGTAACATCAGTCGCATCAAGTGAGAACGCCCACGTTGGATCTGTGCGAATGTTCATGACAGGCTACCGATGGCAACAAAAACATAGAGCAAGTTAGCAAAGCATAGTTCAGGTCAAATGTAAAAATCGAATAGCGTATGTGATTAAATTTGGTTGATAACCTGAAACATGCCTTAAGTTTTTCGTTGTCCGCATGCAGGCCGCGAACATCGAACATAGCTGGGGAGTACAGATGGCTTTGAAAATGTTTAAAAACTACACACATTTTTGGGGGCACCAAAAGGGAAAGGAGTTTTGCTCAGCAGTTGTCAACAAATGCCGACGATGAATGTACATACCGTTAGGCATCTGCTCCATGACGCTAATCTGCGACGTCCGGACGTGAAATGGAAAATTCTTGTTGGCTGCGGTAGGGCGAGTCAAAATCTGCAAAGTCGGGTGAGTGTGATGGAAACGTCCTGATTCAAGACTAGATCCTCCATGGGACGTTTTAGCTAGCCTATCCACACATGAAGCACTGCGTTCGTTGCGTGTCGTAACGGTGATTGATCGAACATTGTTGCCAAAAATGGAGGGAAATGAAACTAAACAGTAACACCAGGGAGACATTTGAGGCTAAATTCAAGTCATCATCTAATCAGGACCGATGATTGATCGTAACTACCCGCCAGCTTCGGTGGTTTTGCCACCCTCCGCAGCTTGTGTGCGTGAGTGGGGGTGTGGATCGGGGTTGGGGGTGGGGGGGGGGGGGTGAGGCGGGGATGACCTATGACCCCCGCCGATCGCACACTGTGATAGAGTACAAGTTTAGGTTATTACCCTATGATCCTGTGAGTCTGCACGTGCTATATAAGTCTGCATAATCTATCCTTGATGATCTCGACACCGATGCTGATGATGGTTTGGGTCCATGGACGATGTGAACGCTCGGTCTACCATCACCCCTGTTCACAGTTACGCACCAGGAAGAAAATGTGCCCGACGACGAGGTGATGCCATGTTCGACGCCGTTCACCACCTTCTCCCGCACCCATTTGTCGATCAGGTAGTTGGCGCATACGATCACCATGGGAGCGGACAGAAACCTGCGCAGAGGCACGGATCACAGACGTGGTTCCCAGCTGTGCCGCGGCCTGCTGGGTTACAAACATGCAAACGTCATTCATAACAAGATACTGTGTGTTAACACACGTTCAGGTTGGAGAGCGATTTGACCTCTCCTCAAGGCTTTCCAAAATTCAGAGCAAGCGGACTAACAAGGCCAAACTTGGCATTGCTATACATTATTTAGATATTGTAGGCAAATGTAGCGGATCTTATAGTTAACATATATTTTCTGGTCATAAGCCCTTGGTATGTCAAAGATAGATAAAGGTGGCCGGTAAAAACGATTCTTTGAGCAGCTTTCATACTAATAAAACGCAATTTTAGGCAAAGCTCTGCAATTGTAGATAACATTTTTAGATGATGAGACAGCCAAATTATCGTTCGAGCAAATTCCGTTGACCTTGGGCTAGCTATGCAGGGAGGATCAAGGTCAATACCAAGCATAATTTTGGCCTGAAACTTTGTTTCTCTATGAAGGTCTGACGCTTATTCAAAAGCATTTATGACCAAGAATTTAACATGTGTCTATATCAACTTACTAAAGGTCAAAAAAGTTTCTATACAAGATGGCATTGATTAAATAACTAAGGGGGCGTAATGACCGAATTGTTGGCGCCATGCGCTCCCGTGTGGGAAGTTCAAGGCTCGAATGCCGGTTACGTCATGGCCCCTGAAAGCTAATGTGACCATTGCAGTCGCTGGCGCTCCATGAAAGGGGTGTGAAAGACGACGTGCGTCTCGCTCTCTAAAACAGGTAACTTGACGATTTTCACAGCTTGTTATCAAGGGATTGCTCTTTATGATGATTTTAAATTCGAGTACCAATTGAATTTTAATGATCAATTTAAATCTCGCCGTCCCAAATTTTCTAAGGCATAAATGAGGTTCTTGGCCTGAAATGAAGATGCATTTTTTCATTGCCTGAAAATAATATCTAGCATGCAGTGGTTTGCATGGAAAGGCTTAAATCGCTTCTCAAACTGTTCTAGATCATAATGGTAGAGCCATATGACGCAAAACATGCACACGAAATAATCAAAAACATTATACATGACAATGAATTATACGTGGTACCCCAAGCACAGCGCTAGTTGCGATAAAAACAGCTGACCACTCCAAAGTTTTTGGTGGCATTTATCGCAGGTTCAGGTACAGGTAGCAAAGGTATCGTACAGCTGGAATTCAAGAACATATGGCTTCACTGGAGGTTGTTTGACCCGATGCTCACAACATAGAAATGTCAAACTCCTCATAAGGAATTCTGAGAGCCCCCTACCTGTCCTGAAAGTCTCGTCTCTAGCCCCGCCGCTTTTTTAGATCTAGGGAGTGTCAACTTGTCTCCCACCCAACCCGAGCGCGTAGCATTCACCCGCGCACCCGCGGAAATTCACCTGTGGCACATGTCAGATGCCTGAGCCTGCTCTGGCGCATATAAGAACTCACCAGACTGTATACATGGTGGAAAAGGGCAGGGAAGCCCCACTTCTCTGGGTAGTGTTTTATGGTGAAGGAAGTAGAGTACACGAACATGGCCCAGCCCAGGATCTTGAGCACGACCAGACCGTAGCCTCCCGGCGATTCGTACAGGTACAGGACCTCGCCCGGGTCGAAAAACTGCAATAGATCAGGCTGTGAGTGCACTGGTGTTCCAAAAAGCAAGCACAATGCACATTCGACATGGTAATCCCGCATCATTCTTGCTCCATGCACAACTTCCCGCCAGGCGGACATACTCGCCATCCTCATCACAGCGCTGCGTGAGATCGACTGATTCAATCTGGAGGTGATCCGGAATGTCGCGCGTGCATCGTCGCACAACCCTTCATCGGACACCATCGGCTACACAGGATACACGCTAGGTCCAGCGTCCTCAGCTTCAGGTGAAGGGGGGGGGGGGCAAGCTTCAGGTTAGGGCTCTCCCAGACAACGTCCGAGAAATACGGCCCCGTGTGAACTCCTCTTTTGGAAACATATACCCCGACGTCCGGTTCAGCGGCGCGACCCAGGTCACCATCTTGAGGCTGATTAATCACCCAGAAAAATCGTCAAACACAGGACCAGTCGCGCCGCTCGAGCTGATGCCACCGCTCTGAGAACACTGCAAGGGGAGGGCGCCGAGCTACGGACAGTGGTAACACGGAGCCCGTCGAGCCCCGGGCAGTGGTAACACAGAGCCCGTCGAGCCCCGGACAGTGGTAACACGGAGCCCGTCGAGCCCCGGACAGTGGTAACACGGAGCCCGTCGAACCCCGGGCAGTGATAACACGGAGTCCGTCGAACCCCGA